CCGGTAAACTGGTTATATTGCGCAGCCCTAGTTGTCAGTCTCGTCGACTAGGCTGATTGCATGTCACTGTATCTCCACTGGTTAAGACAGAGTGGTGAATGTTCATGTGCGATATAGGTTATAAGGGTCGTGTCAGTCATGGGTATATATAATATATAGATGTTTGTACGGACCGACGTTGGTATGAATTGGCTTGCATCATCCCTGTCCAGACTGGGCGTGCTGGTCGGAGAACTCACACATTCTTCCATAATGTGGATATATCTTTTATGTTTGATCTTCTGTTCCCAGTGAGCAACAATTCTTTAAGCAGTATAAAGCTAGTTTTACCTCAATAATGACTAACAGTTAACACCAGTTTTAACAACATTCCAGCACTTTCACGGCGGGTGACACCGGAAAATGAGATTCGAACCCGCATGTGCACAGCGAACGCTTTAATCCATACGTGCTAATGGCAAACAAGTTTTGGTTGTGAATGAAACACAGTCTGCTTGTGGTACTCGTGAATAAAAGCTGTTCTTAGCTTGGCACCTTCCGGGTTTCCGATCCAAGGGAGATAACTGTCTATATATACATGTTCAATTTTCACCCTTGTCGAAATTATGAGTTACTTTTTTGTTTAAAATCGTGTAATAAAAATACGGCGCGTAAACAGCGTGGTAACTGCTTGTTTGATTGGTATTCTAGAAGAAAATAGGAAAACGTACCAGTATTCATGGATGACAACTTCCTGTTTGTTGCATATTGCGTCGTTTGAGTGAGTGAGTGAGTTCGGCGACTGCTTTAAACCCTACCCCATTGCCCCACAGATTATTGGCTATCAACTAAGTCAAGGTTTGAGACATAGAGGATAAGACTGCCAACACGTGTAGTTGGCTTTAAACATATTCATCGGAAATCAAATATGGTTGCCAGTGGCCATATTGGAAAGGTCCAAAAACACCAGGAGTCTTCCGTTGTAAACGTGTAATCTGAATCCTCACATTCTCCGAAAAGGCATTTTCCCGGAAACACAGAACTTGCAAAGCTGAAACCTCGGGTTTATGTCCATTTGTCGGTCACTTTGTGTTCAAACTGTTATGGAATTTACTAGTTGCGTAGATAGTAGCTTCACTCAACACGGGTTCTGTTCTGATTTGACTTTTGCACTTAGATTATAAAATCGTTTCCTCGCACTGAACAAAACACGACCCTTTGAATAATTATAAGAAGATGTCATGGTGTGATTTCGACTATATCCTAAACATGTTATGAATCACCAACAAATATTGATGAGACAAGGTGTTCGCCTGAACTGTGACAGTATCTTACCAGTGGGCGGTGGGGCTAAACGTTCACTCTTGACACTGAAGACCCGGGTTAACTTCTGCACATGTGTAAAATATGTGAAGCCCATTTCTGGTGTGCTCCGCCGTGATATTGCTGGATTATTGCTAAAAGTGGTGTAAAACCTCACTTAGCTACCTCCTCCTATTCTAACCTGAGTTCCACTGGAGCAAATAACATAAACCGATGGGACAAGGTATACCTATGAATAATTACTTTGGAAATATGGTAATATGGCAATTTCACTGAACTATGTGGTTCCGATTACCGGGTTTCAATGTAATTTTGAAACACAGATTTATTTAATCAATCCTTCAACTTTATAAATGCCGCTGTCAAAGAAAGTATGCTTTTGAGAGAGTGAGTTGTGTTGGCACTATTCCAACAATATCACGGCAGGGGCATCTGAAATGGGCTTTACATGTATGCTTTTGAAAACTGGATATGGTTAACAATGGCTTTAACCCCTACGCACGGATGACAAACAAGTTTTAGTTGAAAATGTATTTATGGCACTCGTGAATAAAAGCTTTTCTTAGCTTGGTTCATTCTGTTTTCCCGACCCAAGGGAGTTAACTCTGATCATATATGTTCAGTTTCCACCCTTGCCGAATTTATGAGTTAAATTTTTGGCTGGCCTAATGACTCCAATAATCCAATCAAAATCGTGTAATCGAAATACTGAGCGTAAACAGCGTGGTAACTGCTTGTTTGATATTTATTCCAGAAGAAAATAGGAAAACGTACCAGTTTATGGAGTGAGTGAGGGAGGTTAGGTTTACGCCGCTTTTAGCAATATTCCAGCAATATCACGGCGGTGGACACCAGAAATGGGCTTCAGATATTGTACCAATGTGGGGAATCGAACCCAGGTCTTCAGCGTGACGAGCGGACGCTTTAACGTTTAGGATATCCCGCCCCAATACCAATGTAAGAATCGAACCCGGGACTACGGCGTGACGAGCGAACGCTTTAGTCTCCAGGCTTCCCTGTTTGGTTGAAGGATTTGGTCAACAGGAACTTCATGGCTGTTGAGTCGCCGCAGTTCGGTTAACATAGTTGTGTCCCTTTTACACCCGAGAAACCTACGATTCTGGGTTCGAATCCCGGTTCGTATCTATTATGTTTGTAGGTTTCCGACACCATTAGTGGTGGTTTTTCACCAATGTGAAAAATGCCTGATTGTTTCTTGTTAAACGCAATTGTCCAGCTATATGTCTGTAAATAATCGTGTTGGAACCAGACAATCCAGTGATCAACATCATGAGCATTGATCTACGCAGTTGGGATACGATGACATGTGTCAACGAAATCAGCGAGCTTGGTCACCCGATCCCGTTAGTCGCCTCTTACAACAAGCATTCTGACCGGGATCTTAGCGGGGCAAAAGAAAATATGCATCTGGTTTTGTTCGTGGCTGAAAACAATTCAAACAAGAAAAAATATCACTGGTGATGTATTAAAACTAAAATCTAAAAACCCCGTAAAACTATACTCACTCACTCTTTTGCCATGTTTGTAAACAGTACACGGTGAGCGTCAATTTGTTAAATGACTGCGCGAGTGAGTTGACTTTACGCTATTTTTATTCTTGTATGTAAACTTTTCTATCCTCATTCTGTTCGTCAGAAGAGTTCGTCCCATACATATGCATATCCGCCATGTTGCGTTATTGATGCTGCTCGCCCAGCCATTTATCGCAGGTCTAATATTATGTTACTACGTTCAACTTCCTTGTTTGAAACGTGAGCTTAGTTATAAAATAAGCGCAAGTACAAACACATGACAGGAAATGACGTATTAATATGACACTCTATGTCAGAAGACAGGAGGAATTTGTTGGTGTCTCTGACTTTATCGATGGAAAAGTAGACAGGGTAACAACTTCTCATCTCTCAGTTTATGTCGTTTGTTGTTAAGCGACCCACTCAGCAATATTCCAACTAAATGGCGACGGTCTTTAAACAATGGAGTCATGAATGCCGATTTACGCAATTGGGATACGAGCTGAGTTGATATTTCACTCCAAAGCGAGAAAAACAATACAACGCACAGTAAGCTACAGTTTTCCAAGACGTTATTGAGAAAATCTTTGTTTCCTAATGCTGATAATAGAACTTTAAAATAAGTGTTACATTATGTAGTACTCAGTATGGGAGGCAACTCTTGTAGGCTTAAGAACGAACCTTACTCCAGTAGGAGTTATCTCCCCTTGTGTAACAGACGGCTTCAGGAGTTGGGACTGAGCACAAGACAGGGGCAGGGAGGCCAAGGAAGTTCAGTACTACGGATCGCCGTTGACTTGGTCAGATTGTGAGTAGGGGAAAATCAAAAAGCGTTGAGAGTGTCAGAAATGAGATGATTAATAGAGGAAGTCCTCAGGTATGTAATGAAACCCTTAGACAAGAATTACAGAGACTTAACTGGGTGAAAACGTGCGGAATTCCCTAAATGTTGATGAAAGATGCATAAAAAGAAAGACGTTTAAACTGGTGTAGGCAACTGATGAAAGTTCTGTGTGGCTTTTTCCGAACTGTGTGAACATTTGGACAAAAGATACCTTGAAAGCTATCTACCAATGCCCAAAATATAGCCCGACATTGTGGTGGGATATCATCACATGGAGTGGCGAAGTTGTGTATTTTCACTGGAAATTTGATGAAGGGACGATATGTTGACATCTTAAATGATCGATCATTTAAGATGATCACCTCCTTCCACGGCCCCAACACTGTATGAAGATAAATGGATTTTCCAGCATGATAAGGACCCAAAACACACTGCGGGCTACACAAAACAGCTGTTGTCGGACAAAAAATGTAGACTGGCCCAGCTACAGCCCAGATCTTAACCCTATTGAGAATGTGTGGGGACTAATGAAGGACAGAATAAACTGTCTTAGAAATATTGAGGATATGAAGAAAGAAGTGGTAGAATATCGGGATACCCTGTCACACGATTTCCTACAAACTTTGATCGGTGGTGTACCTGGGCGTATTCAGGCGTGAATTACAGAGCAAGGAGGTCTCACAAAGTACTGAAAAGACACTTAGACTGTAAGAGAATCATATCTCAACATATTCATTTAAGTAAAACTTCTACAGCTTATATGCATGTATTAGATATTTGCCGACACAACTTTCTCAATAATTTCTGGGAATACTATATATTGTACTAAAGTAGCTGTCAATGTGTCGCCGAAGATAGTAAACAAACAAACAAACAACCATATTAACAAAATAAAACAAAAAACACCCCAAACATATAAGAATGAAAACAACCAAAAAAGCAAATAAACAAGCGGAGAAATATAATGGGTACATTGTGACTCGGGTACATTCCACCAGGCTAAGCCGTCGCTGTAGATACATGTAGTTGCATTCCTTCACCGTTCCAGGATCCACATATGGTACGTTCGGTCTTTCCTCAGTCAATCATCCGCATGCTCTTGATAGACGTAAATTGAACGCGTGTTCATGAATTATACCATCGACTCTGCTTTTAGGGCGTGGGCAGGGTTTTGTCGATTTTATTTATATCTATTCTTGATTACAAAAAATTACCTACATTATCTTATAGCCCCTATTTACCCAAAAGTAACTGATAGTGCTATGCCAGGTTTTGCATATTGTCATCATTGTAATGATTATAACCCAGATCATGATCACTATCAATTTCCGTTATCAATCACATTATCAAAACATGTTGTGTCCAACATTTTCAGCCAATGATACTAGCTCCCCCTTGCACTTCCTTGACCACCGCGTCACTTTCATTGGACAGTCTGTCCACGGCTGTTATGGCGTAGCGGCCACTGGGCACTGACCAACTGGTTGTGTCATTGTTCAGGAGTTTCTTCAACTCCCACGCGTCCGCCTCATACTTGTAAACAGCCCAGCTCCTCGTCACACCGGAACCGTCCTTGTTCCACGTCAAGGTGCTGCCTGAAACCCTGACACCAGAGGGAGGTGGAGGTGGAGTGGCACCAAGCCATGGCATAGGCGGTGCAAGAGCTGGAACAGTGTAGAGGTCTTTCTGAAACATGGTGGATAATCCCTTGCTGTTGTCCCGGAAGTACTTAGCACTGAAGAACACATCACCAAGACTCAGCTTGTCACGTCGCTTCCTTGCTTCCTCAACCTGGCGTGTAATTTCGTCAAGTGGCCAGTTTTGCTCTACCACATTGCCTGCATAGCTCCCTGCATAGAAGTGGCGATGTTTGGAGTTTTGCTGCAGCCACCAGTCCATCAGGTGCGTGAAACTCTGTTTCACCGGATCAATCCGCCAGTACAGTTGCGGAGTAAAGTAGTCCACCCAGCCCTCGTCAAACCACTTCCTACTGTCAGCGTACTGCTCATAGTAGGACGACAGCCCAACTATGCCTTTAGGAATTCCTGATTTCCATATTCCGAATGGACTAAGACCAAATTTCACATGCTTCTTGGTCGCCTTGGTTCCATTATACAGACGCTGGATAAGCGAGTTGACGTTATCCCGTCTCCAATCATCCCGTCCAAGATGGCCGCCTCCTTTTCGATAAGCGTTGTAAGTAACGTTATCGGGAAAACTTTGTCCTGAAACAGGGTATGGGTAGAAGTAGTCATCCATGTGGACGCCGTCAATGTTGTAACGCTTTACCACATCCATGATGACGTTGTAACACTGATCCTGAACTGCCTTGGCCCCTGGGTCCATCCATAGATCGTTCCCATAAGCATGAGCGTACTGTGGATATTTGACAGCAATGTGGTTAGGGGCAAGTCCAGCCTTAGAGGTACTCCCAGACCGAGCTCGATACGGGTTGTACCAGGTGTGCACCTCCATGCTGCGTCTGTGAGCCTCCTCCAGTACAAAGGCCAGGGGGTCGTAATAAGGAGAAGGAGCCCTTCCTTGGGAACCTGTCAAATACTCGCTCCACGGCTCCAGGGTAGAGTTGTACATGGCATCACCAACTGAGCGGACCTGCAAAGATTAAGTAAATGGGTTAAGGGTGAGTGAGTATGGTTGTATGCCGCTTTCAGAAAATGTATATTCAAGCAGAAACACCGGTACCAGCAATCGGCTTCCCACATATGTGTGACGAGCGAACGACCCAGCGGCTCCTTCATAAACTGTATAAGCAAACTATATTTGATAGGCGATGAAGTTGATGAAAACAAGGCTATGGTCGAGACGTATTTGAGTGTGCACTTGGTGTAACATTTCTTACATCTTAAATGTTCGGTAAAATCACTTAATGATCGCTTACTGTTTGAGAAAAACATACTGAAAGTTCATGGCCACGCATATCAACACCAAGGGCCCCGAGTGCTGATAAAACATGGACCGAATTTGTTATTTGAACAAATGCTCAGCGGATCCTGGTACGGCTCATAGAGGCAACTCATGCATAGACAGTGTCAGTTACAGTGCCTCACATCGCTAGGCCATCCTTGTCCGTGAAATAGAAATGGATACTTATACTTGAAAGAACTTTATTTTTTGTCAAAGTCTTACATTTTTCTGACTGATTAAATTGAACAATGTCATTTGTGCAATGTAATTGCTAAAAAGATGAGCTTCTAAAGATTCTGATGGAGTTTTGCTTACCTGGAACACGATGGCATTGAAGTTCAGCTTCTGCAGCTTGTCCAGGAGGAGGACCAGCTCCGCCTTCTGTTGGGAGGTGGAGTGATAGCGGGACAGCGGCCAGTCAATGTCCGCCACTGTGGCTACCCACACAGCTCGGAACTCTCTCACTGGCCAGACATCGCCGCTAGATTTGACGGTCTCTGTCCAATCAAACATTCAATATTATGTAATCATCCAGTATGGCGCACAAAACATACGAAGACATACACTGAGATTTCGCTAAAATTGTTCCATGCTTCATACATGGGGTGGTGTGTGGTCCTGTGCATAGCGATCAGGTCACAAATCAGTTAAAGATAAGCAACGTTGGGCGCGGAGAGTCCTTGGATGGGTGACCGTATTTGGCAGCTTGACTCCTGAGTGTTTCTAGGACTTCAGTCCTGCCCCACAACAAAGCACATGAGATACATGTGGTCTCACCTTAGGCAGGTGAGTTTGTTCAAAATTGCCTCTATTCACCCAGCAGATAATGGGTACCTGTTGGGATAAGTCATGTGACTATAACCTTTTTAGCGCCTAACATGCAGCTTGGGTTATCCGGGTTAATAATGTGTTAGCCCTTTGAGCATGCAAAAGTGTGTGGAAACAGGCGCTTTATAAAAAGGCCATTGCTATGCAGCCCATTGTTCCGCGTATTGAATGTTATGGGTGGTGTTTAACGCAGCACTCAGCAATATTCCAGCTGTATGACTGCTGCTTGTAACTGGACCAGACAATCCAGTGACTGACATCAAATGAAAATGCTGTCGTTTGGGAATCGGGCACATATTTAATTTTGGCAAATGATCAATTTGATAACGAGAAATTTGTTTCGTGATCAATCCGGTCACACGTACACATACACATATGGCATATGATCCTTTCTGTTACACATAATAGCTTTTCATATGATTCATTGGGTTACTAATAGTAGTGACAAATGATCCATTCTGTCAGACACAACTTTTTCATATTATCCGTTCGGTCACTAACAAGAGTATGACACATGATCCATCCGGTAACGCATAGAAAATTTGATAATATTGAGTCGGCCACTAATAATATGTCACAGAAATATGTCATTTGCTCAATTCGGTCACACGAAGAAGTGTGTCATTTGATCAAATCAGAAATTTGTGACTTCATCATTTCGGTCAAATATGTAAATTGCCATGTGATAAATCCGGTCTCACATGGAAGTTTGACATGTGATTAATTCGAACAAACGTGATAGTTCGTCACGTCACATTACACAGAAGTCGGTCAATCGGTGTTCTGTTGGTCACGTGATGACTATGGTGCCAGAGCACACATATGGACGGGTAACACCCGTATTTTCATATTACTACATTTAGTCTACCATGTAATAATAGAGTAACTGTTTTCATGAAATTCAGTGGGTTGTTACTTGTTTTTAATTATACATCAGAAATATACAGATTAAAATGACTTACCCGCTCTCGTGAACTGCGTGCCACAGAGAAGGTATCCGAGGGTAAAAAACTCAAGTAATCCCTTCATTAGGGCTGGGTTAAAACTCCAGACTAGACTGGAGACAACGTAAAAAAAACAACAACGTGTCAAATTAGGTCTCATAAATCCTTGATAAGGGCTTCTTATCTTTTTTGGGTGTGTACATTTCCAGATTCAATCTTCACAGGCACACGATATGTATTCCCCTTGATCTCTGTTGACCGAAGGTTTGTGACGGCAGATTTCAGTAGCTTCAGAGAAATCAGTGAAATCCTGTTGCTTGTTTGAGTGTGAGGGAGGTTGGGTTTTTAGACAACATATGGCAATGGTGTAATTTTTAAAAATATCAAAGATAATACTAAACATGGAGGGCGACATAATAAATATATAGTTTAATATTACATTTAAAGCCGGACATCGGAACCACATATTTCACCATGAAGTTACCCGGATTAATCATTCAAGGGTATACAATGTACCTTGTAGCATCGCACTATGCTATATATATATTTCAGGTTAGACTAGGGGAGGTGGGGGTAGCCCAGTGGCTAGACGTTCACTCGTCACACTGAGGACCAGGGTTAAATTCCGCACATTGGTACAGTGTGCGAAGTCCATTTCCGGTTTCTCCCGCCGTGTTTAGCATTATCTTTAATATTTTTCAAATTTACACCATTGCCACATGTAGTCAATAACATAAGCTTAATCGGTAGAATAATAAATAGAGAATGGGTGATGCTTAAATTCCTTTCCTGGGCTATACATATGCATATCCGACATGAAGCGGTATTGATGCTGCTCGCTCTGCCACTTATCTCAGGTCAAATATTATGTTACTATGTTCAACTTCCTTGTTTGAAATGTGAGCTTAGTCATACAATTTACGAGATTGCTGCAGCAAGTACAAACACATGACAGGAAATGACGTATTAATATGCCACTCATTGTCAGAAGACAGGAGGAATTCGCTAAAGTGGGTTGGTGTCTGTCACTTTATTTATGAAAAGGTGCCGGAAGATACTACACTTCTTCTTCTGAACTTTGGTGGTTTGTTGTTTAAGCGACCCACACAACAATCTTCTAACTAAATGAAGACGGTCTTTAAATAATCAAGTCTGGACCAGACAGCCCAGTGATTGACATCATGAGCATCGATGAACGCAACTTGGAAACGATGACATTTGTCAACCAAACCCGGTCCGGTTAATCGCCTCTTACGAAACACTTGGGTTATCAAATGCTGATGAGAACAAAAGTACTGGTGACGTATGGTCACACGTGCGTGTGTTGCTGTTATTTATGTTTTGAACCTCTAACAACACAATCTGCTCAGGTTATCAATTCAAGGTTATGTTTTCAGTGAATGTTATTGTGATGGGAGCAGGTATAATTGCCTGATATATTTACATTCACTGAACAATAAAGATCAAATACCGACATTATCTGTTAGTAATCGTGCTATGAATCTTCCTTGGATGGAAAGAAAATAAACGTTTCCTGAACGATATGTACAAAATGTCTGATAACTTTTATAACAATGTTTCTGAGGCATCTAGTCTGATTATATGATTCTTTAGAACATTGGTATAACCAATGGAAGTTGGTTCATTGTCCTGAGGTCCCATGTCCGATTCCTGCCATGGATAGGGCCGGTGGGGTAGCCCAGTGATTAGGGCGTTCACTCGTCACGATAGAGACCCGGGTTCGATTCCCCACATGGGTACAATGTGTGAAGCCCATTTCTGGTGTCCCCGGCGTGATATTGCTGGAATATTGCTAAAAGGGGCGTAAAGCTAAACTCACTCACCCATCCATGCCATGGATACACCGCATCGTGCAGGTTTAATTAACATCCCTGGATATATAAAACTGATGTTTTGTGTCTCCAATTGTAAAATGACTGGAAAGCGGCATTAAACTTGACTCACTCTTCCACTAACTAATATAATTAATTACACCGTTATCTGCCTGATAACTGTAAACTTTAAAGATGTAAATTGGTAGACATGTTGAAGATATCTCAAACACTAACGCACCAATAACAAGATTTTCTTTCATGTGTATACATACTTCTTTTTTTAATTGACGTTTTATTTTATTTCAGAAATCCCCGTTACAAATAGGAGCTCTTGTCCAGGGTAGCAGGAGCCCCATTGCACAAACAAAACAGAAAGACGACAAAACTTTTTTGAGTTCTTTTGTGTATTTTATTTTAGACATTAAACACGGACACCACAATATTCACAAATATAAAAGTAGAATAGGCAATATCATGATGTAGTTTGTTGACATAAAAAACCCCAACAACTTTGCTGACAACAGATAATATGAAGTTATCATTGCAAAGATGACTTCCGGAATGCGCGTTCAGTGGTGAAAACGTGTTACGTTTTGACTTTCTAAAATCTAAACAATCTTCAACCATAACAATGAATGCCAAAAAGCAAATGGAAATTGGGAAAAGGGGGCAATCAGGGAAGTAAAGAACCCAATATGGAGGCTTTTCTAATCGACGAAGGGCGGATGAGGCGATGGGAGATTCGGCTGTTTATGTCAGTGACGTCTCGAAATTGGCCGCCAAAGTGGATCTTGCCACTCTGCAACTGATGCTTAACAAACAGACTGATGATATTTGCAGCAAGGTCGCAGAAGATACGAAGAGGATCACAGGCCGTGTCGACGGTATTGAACACACCATTACTTACCATGATAGTCACATTCAGGAGCTGAACAGTCACCAGTAACAAGATTGATGTTCGATGCAAATTCCTATTTTCATATTGTAACCCATGACCATGATCACTGTCAATTTCCGTTATCGATCACAGTAACAAAATGTTTATCGGATGTGTTCAACATTTTCAGTCAATGATATTGGCTCCCCCTTGCACTTCCTTGACCACCGCGCCGCTTTCATTGGACAGTCTGTCCACGGCTGTTATGGCGTAGCGGCCACTGGGCACTGACCAACTGGTTGTGTCATTGTTCAGGAGTTTCTTCAACTCCCACGCGTCCGCCTCATACCTGTAGACAGCCCAGCTCCTCGTCACACCGGAACCGTCCTTGTTCCACGTCAAGGTGCTGCCTGAAACCCTGACACCAGAGGGAGGTGGAGGTGGATTGGCGCCAAGCCAGGGCATAGGCGGTGCAAGAGCTGGAACAGTGTAGAGGTCTTTCTGAAACATGGTGGACAATCCCTTGCTGTTGTCCCGGAAGTACTTAGCACTGAAGAACACATCACCAAGACTCAGCTTGTCACGTCGCTTCCTTGCTTCCTCAACTTGACGTTTAATTTCGTCAAGAGGCCAGTTTTGCTCTACCACATTGCCTGCATAGCTCCCTGCATAGAAGTGGCGATGTTTGGAGTTTTGCTGCAGCCACCAGTCCATCAGGTGCGTGAAACTCTGTTTCACCGGATCAATCCGCCAGTACAGTTGCGGAGTAAAGTAGTCCACCCAGCCCTCGTCAAACCACTTCCTACTGTCAGCGTACTGCTCATAGTAGGACGACAGCCCAACTATGCCTTTAGGAATTCCTGATTTCCATATTCCGAATGGACTAAGGCCAAATTTCACATGCTTCTTAGTTGCCTTGGTTCCATTATACAGACGCTGGATAAGCGAGTTGACGTTGTCCCGTCTCCAATCATCCCGTCCAAGATGGCCGCCTCCTTTTCGATAAGCGTTGTAAGTAGCGTTATCGGGAAAACTTTGTCCTGAAACGGGGTATGGGTAGAAGTAGTCATCCATGTGGACGCCGTCAATGTCGTAACGCTTTACCACATCCATGATGACGTTGTAACACTGATCCTGAACGACCTTGGCCCCTGGGTCCATCCACAGACTATTCCCATAAGCATAAGCGTACCGTGGGTATTTGACAGCCATGTGGTTGGGGGCAAGTCCAGCCTTAGAGGTACTCCCAGACCGAGCTAGATACGGGTTATACCAGGAGTGGACCTCCATGTTGCGTCTGTGTGCCTCCTCCAGTAGAAAGGCCAGGGGGTCGTAATAAGGAGAAGGAGCCCTTCCTTGGGAGCCTGTCAAATACTCGCTCCACGGCTCCAGGGTGGAGTTGTACATGGCATCACCAGCTGAGCGGACCTGCAAAGATTCAGTAAATGGGTTCAGACCAACATAACGTTTTCTTGGAAACTTCATATAGTGTTGGTGAGTGAGTGAGGTTGTATGCAGCTTTAGCAATATTTCAGCAGGGCTTCCCATATTGTAGATATGTGGGAAATCGAACCCGGTGTGACAAGCGAACGCTTTAACCATTCAGCAACCCCTCGGCTACTTTATGTAATGAATTTGATAAAAACGAGGTTATGGTCGAGACGTATTTGAGAGTACATTTGGTGTAACATTTCTTACATCTTAAATGTTCGGTTAAATCTCTTCATGATCTCTTACTGTTTGAGAAAAACAAACTGAAAGTTTTTAGGTCACTTCTGTCAATATCAAGAACAGCGAGTGTTGATAAAGCATGGGCCCAATCTGTGATTCGAACAAATGCTCAGCTGATCCTGGTACGGCTCATGCAGGCAACTCTGCATAGACAGTGTCAGTTACAGCGCCTCACATCGCTAGGCCATCCTTGTCCGCGAAATAAACTTAAAAGAAGTTTATTTTTTTGTCAAAGTCTATATCAATCTGACTGATTAAATTGAACAATGTAATTTGTGCAATTACAACAAAGATAAATATATTGTAATGTAATTACTAAAAAGATGAGCTTCCAACGATTCTGATGGAGTTTTGCTTTACCTGGAACACGATGGCGTTGAAGTTCAGCTTCTGAAGCTTGTCCAGGAGGAGGACCAGCTCCGCCTTCTGTTGGGAGGAGGAGTGATAGCGGGACAGTGGCCAGTCCATGTCCTTCACTGTGGCCACCCACACTGCTCGGAACTCTCTCACTGGCCAGACATCGCCGCTACATTTGACGGTCTCTGTAATAATACAATCAATATTATGTAATCATCCAGAATGGCGCTCAAAACATACACTGAGATTTCGTCAAATTTGTTCCATGCTTCACGCAGCCCACTGTTCCGCGTATTCGATGTTATGTTTGTTGCTTAACACCGTACTCAGCAATATTCCAGCTGTATGACTGCGGCCTGTAATTAATCGAGTCTGGACCAGACAATTCAGTGACTGACATCAATACATACGGAATAAGGATACGATGACATGCATCAATCAAGCCAGCGAGCCTGACCACCAGATCACGTCATTCGAATCTTTCAACAAGCATGGCTTGCTGTAGAGCAATATTAACCCGGATCTTCAGTGGTAATTCGACATTATTTCAGCATTAAGCACCAAACATTCAACATTATGCACCAAAATACACCAAGGCGTCTATATTAAGTTAAAAAGTGAGGCCAACCTTAATACACGTACAGATGACACAGGTGGGAATATGACCTTCTTGTCAGCAGCGTGACATCGGGTAACTTCGTTCATGGGGTTGTCATATCAACAGGACTACCCGTGGTCATGTTTATTCATTTATCGATTCAGATCGATAAGGAAAATGTTGTCGTTATCGAACCGGGAACATATTTAATTTTGGCAAATGGTCAATTTGTTGACGAGAAGAAGTTTGTTTCGTGATCAATCTGGTCACATAGAAATATGATATATGTTACACTAAACTTTTTTGAACCATTGGGTCACAAATAGTAGTATGGCATATGATCCATCCGGTCACTAATAGCAGTATGACATATGATCCATCCGGTCACTTATAGTAATATGACAAATGATCCATCTGGTCACTAATAGTAGTATGACGTATCATCCATCCGGTCAATAAAGAAGAATGACATATGATCCATCCAGTCACTAATAGTAGTACGACATATGATCCATCCGGTCACTTAAAGTAGTATGATGTGTGATCCATCCGGTCACTAATAGTCGTATGACATATGATCCATCCGGTCACTTATAGTAAAAAGGCAAATAATCCATCTGGTCACTAATAGTAGTATGACATATGATCCATCCGGTCACTAATAGTGGTATGACATATGATCCATCCGGTCACTTATAGTAATATGACAAATAATCCATCTGGTCACTAATAGTAGTATGACATATGATCCATCCGGTCACTTATAGTAGTATGACATATGATCCATCCGGTCACTTATAGTAATATGACAAATGATCCATCCGGTCACTAATCTTTTTTTGAACCAGAAGTATGACATATGATCCATCCGGTCACTTATAGTAGTATGACGTATGATCCATCGGTCACTAATAGCAGTATGACATATGACCCTTTCTGTCACACATAGTAGCTTCTCATATAATTCATTCGGTCACTAATAGTATGACATATGATCCATCCTGTAACGCGTATAAGATTTGATAAGATCGGGTCGGTCACTAAAAGTATGTCACAGAAATATGCCATTTCATCAATTCGGTCACACACCGAAGTACGTCATTTGATCATTCGGTCACATACATAAGTAGGTCATATGATCAAATTCGAAATTTGTGATTTCATCATTTCGGTCAGATTTAGAAATTGCCATGCGATAAATTCCGTCTCACTTTGACATGTTTGACATGTGATTAATTCGAACAAACGTGAACGTTCGTCACGTGACATTACACAGAGGTTGGTCACGTGATGAATATGATCTACGAACACACATATGGATTGGTACACCCGTACTTTCATACCACTACATTTAATCTGCCACTCAACGATAGATTTACTGTATACATAAAAATCATATCGGTGTTGCTGTTTTGTTTAATATACATCAGAAATATACAGACTGACATGACTTACCCGCCCTCGTGAACTGCGTGCCACTGAGAAGATATCCGAGGGTAACAAACTCAAGTAATCCCTTCATTGGTCCTGGGATAAAACTCCACACTAGACTGGGGACAACGTAAAAAAAAAATTTCAATTAAGTCTCAGACAGCCTACACATCGGCTTGCATCAGCTGATAAGGGCTCCTTATCTTTCGTGGCTGTGTAGATTCATTGACACACGTCTACATCTACCTTCCTGGGAACTGAACAACTCCCTCGACGTCTTCCGTTGTCAATTTTGTTTCTTCGTTGTTTAGCACAATATTCTAGGAAGATGGCGGCGCCCTGCAAACAATCTGGACCAGACTATCCAGTGATTGACATCATAAGCATGGTGGGATACGATCACGCGCGTCAACCAAGTCGGCCACCTGATCCTGTTTGTCGCCCCGTACGACAAGCTTGGGTAGCTGAAGATCAATTCTAACCCGGAACTTCACAGTATCATGAGACTGAAATGGTGTGGTCACTTCCGACGTGAAGCTATTACTGCGAACGACTTCAGGTATCTACAATAGAGGTCCACACACACTCACGTTACACATCGTTGGACTTTCGTTATGAAGGGACAGCTAAGGCAACACTTTCGTGTCAAGAGTTATTCCTACATCCTCGAGCTAATACTAATGTCGACAACTAAAACACTTCCGGCTTTGTCGTAAACATAATCAGAGACCGTGTGCAAATGTTCGCTTTGTCGACGGTTACAATGTTCAAGGGAGGTAATTCCCCACAGCTACCCGTCTCTCGTTTAATATTACAAACATTTTTTTATGAATATGTCGGTTAGCGTGTTTCAAATACTGTCAATGACACTGTGTCTACCTTGTCATCATCATTATACCAGCATTACTAGGCACAATATCGTCATATGAATGTTCGCGTTGCGTATCGTATAGGTTACATGTGGCGGGCGACATGTATGTATGTAACCAAACGGTAATTCATTTGGACAGTAACGGCAGTATATCACACCACACTTCTCTAAAAATAAATAATGCATTTCTCTCAATAATACTAACTATCAGCACTTAGGGAAGCTACCCTTTACTTCATTAAAAAAATACGTATTTAGATTACAATATTAAATTAAAACGTTCGAATGAATGTATGCAACGTTGTATTAAATCGCCCTCGACCTGCAGAACATTATTTCAAGCGAGTCTCGTGGAGCGCTCTTTACGGATATCGTACCCACAACACCGCGTGCGACAGTTTTCGATGTATGGGGCAATTTTTACCTTATATATATGGCCAGTGTTCTATGTTTGGAAGCTGTCCGCCTCGAAGTTTCAATTATCGATTTCAGGCAAGTCGTAAGGGATAATAAGTCTTTTATGAATCAATAAGAAGCTAAAGTGGGGGCATATGCCCCAATATATATAATATAGGCCAACATATTGTCGAAAATGTGTGTCATTGTTCCTTTAATAGACAGCACCCAGCTATTGTAATGGCAACGGTTCAGCCTCAGGTTCAGTTCCTTTCACATTTGTCTGCAGGAGTGAGTGAGTTTAGTTTTACGCCGCACTCAGCAATATTCCAGCTATATGGCGGCGGTCTGTAAATAATCGAGTCTGGACCAGACAATCCAGTGATCAACAGCATGAGCATCGATCTGCGCAATTGGGAACCGATGACATGTGTCAACCAAGTCAGCGAGCCTGACCACCCGATCCCGTTAGTCGCCTCCTACGACAAGCATAGTCGCCTTTTGTGGCAGGCATGGGTTGCTGAAGACCTATACTACCTCGGATATTCACGGGTCTGTCTGCAAGAACAGTGGTGTATCGTAATTTATTGTGTTATTTAATACATGAAACTGTTTATGGATAACGTCTTCTATTCTTTGGTAGCAAGGTTTCAGCTTAATCACATCATAAAATACACTACAGATAGAAATCTTGATAGACTTTTTGTGAGTGTATTATCCTTGTTACTTTATACCCAGCCATATGGAAGACTTTATTCACTGGGACAATTCCTATTTGGATTTATATTTACGACTTCGCAACTATGCAGAGTATGACCCTTAGTGGCGATTTCGACGTAGATGACATGTACCCTCACAGTACGCTAGATGACACAGCTCCGTCGACCACTGAGCCCAAACATCACGATCCATTATGCGGGAAAACTTACACAGGTATCGCGGCTTCCGATGTCATGTTACCAAGAAACGGAGCAGGCAAGTATTCAGGTACAATATATGTACAACATGTTGTACTAATTATTGCTTGGTCGGCATTTTAAAAGTTGGTGAGTCAAAACTGAAGCATACGATATTATGGATACCAACCTCTTGTTTAATTACAGAGACATTTTAGCATGTAGTACGACAAACAACCTACAACTTGTTAAAATAAGTGACAAGGAGTTAATGTATTTTATTATCCTCCAAATTTACAAAATACAAATAAAATCTAGCATATTTCATTCAACAATGCAATGGACATTGAATTCATACAAAGATGACAGGTTAAAACTGTTATTATTCTGCTTTCATGTAGGAAAACCAAGTTGTATGGATAGTCAACTTCTTTATTGCATTGGTTGCGACGTTTCGGTGAAGGTACTAACACCGTTATCAAGCAAGTGATTTAATGTCCCGAACATTTCACATACTTTCCAGCACTATCTCAAACAGGCCACATTCCTGAATTTCAGCCAGTACTGGACAACTATGGACAAGGCTCTTCCCTTTTTCTGATGGAGAACAGCTTAAGATGAGATTTCATCAGAGGAGGCTTAAAGAAGAATTGCAGTCACACCTTCATAACCATCGCCCAGGATTATCAACGTTTTTGTGTAGTGCTTATAGGAGTGCTGGCGCGTGTGGCCCTGTGCAAAGAGCTCAGGTCACGAATCAGTTGACGTTAGGCAACGTCGGGCTCCAGACAGACACGAGTTTGGCAGCTTGACTCCTGAGTGTTTCTAGGGCTTCAGTCCTGCCCCACAACGAAGCACATGTGAGGTCTCACCTTAGGCAAGTGAATTTGTTCAAATTGCCTCTCTTCACACAGCAGAAAATAGGTACCCGGTTAGATAAAGGCATGTGATTATAACCTTCTTGCGCCTAACAGGGGTTAGGCGGGGTAATAATAATCAGATTCTGACTAAGCGCCGCGAGCAATCACTTGGTGTTTGGTTACTGTGCGCTATAGAAGACGACTTATTATTATTATGACCATATACCAACAAAATGCCACACTATCAAAAACTTGATCATCTTGTCAAAACTGAATGTTGCTAAAGCGAGGACCAGTCAAAAGGAGGAACCTAATCCCATCATCGCTGATTGGCGTGATGTAAAGAAAACGTGCTCAATTAGCTTGTAAAAGCCAAGATAAAATAATTTTGGACTTTCAAATAGATCAAAGAGTACTTCCATCCAATAAGATTGAAGCTGATGAAGCCAGAGAAGTGAGAAGACTATATAACTCTCTAGATGGAAAGTGAGCACATCTCACTCTTTGAGTCTGTTGATACATAGTTACACTAAAACCTATTAGCAAGTGAACTGTGCTCAAATACAGGATGGCTGACTTTGTAACTCCTGTTGATGGTGCCTTTGACGTCAGTTCCGGTATCGGTAAGTCCTTCCAGATAGTAATCTAGCATCCATTTGTAAGTGTGATCTCTCCATCGCAAATGCTTCAAATTCCCAGTGCCCTTGGCAAATCCATATCGTACCATTGATTACCTTGAATATTCATTTACAGAATACGTTATTTTCTTTATTGTAGGAGCTCCTCAGCACACATCAACTCCTCTCCCCAAGAGACGTGCAGTGCCATCCCTGACAATACCAGTGCCTGACACAAACCATCATGTGCCAACTCTCTCCAGCCTCCACCCGATGTCATCCCCGTCCTACCTCCACCCAACATGCATCTCCAGTCCCTACAGCTTCTTCCCTTCCTATTCTGCCATGTACTACTCTCCCAGCTTCGGACCAGGTACCTGCACAGCTCCCAGCTATCCGCTACTACCGAGTCCATCATTCCTGCCACCAAGTCCATCCTACCTTTCATCCCACCCGTTGGGGTATTCGACTGTACCAGGGAGTCCATCCTTCCTACCGGGTACGATTCCAAGCTCAAGTCTGCCCATCAAACCAGTATCGATTCCAACCACCAGTGCTCTGACTACACCAACGCAGGGGCATTCAAAGTCTGTGGACATCAGCCCAGTCACAGAGACACGCCCGATTGACTTCGAATTGCCGTCTTGTTCCAGGCCCGATATTGGTAAAGCTGTTGATGACATCGTAGCGAAAACCCTTGGGGCAGATCTGGCAACAAAGAGTACCAACAACGACCGCCAGTCAGCTCTTGAGAAGAGACTCCAGTCACTCAAGTCAAGGTTCCCAACAGAGGTAAAGGAACTATCCAGCTTCCTTGCCTTCCATTCCTCATCTATTCAGAAGGAACATCAACAGTGTCTACAAGATGGATTCTTCCCAACGGACTATCACAATTGGTTGACCACAAGATACAATGATCAACTGCACCTGGTGTTCACAAGCATCGAGAAAAGTGTGACCACCCTCGAGAACCAAGGCAAGATACTGGCCCGTCCTGCCAGCAGAAACCTCAGTCCTGAATCAATCGTCTTGATGGAGAAGTGGTACCATGAACATCTCAACAACCCCTACCCCACTCAAACAGAAGCTGAAGACATGGCCAACAAGGGGGGAATTACCCTTTCTCAAGTACGAAAGTGGTTTTCCAACAAAAGACACAGGACCAGGAAACCCAGATCTGTCAAAGCTGTAGTTGCTGCCAAACAGTGTGAAGAGTTCCTGTCTGGGATATTTCAGATGTAAAATGGGAACAGTTCTGTCACCTGAGTGATGCTAACTCGTTTAAGTAGTTTTGAAAGTGATATCAACTATGAATGTCTGTCCGAAGACAAAATTCCTTCATGCATAGTGCTATATTCATCTTAGGACCTGTGATATCCATTGTTTTGTATATATGAATGTAAATTATGACCCGTGCTATCCATGGTTTTGTGGATGTCAATTGTTGCTTTGATCTGAAATAAAATATTGTAATAAACTATCATTCAAATGCCCGTCTTTTTAGCACGCACAGACTCTGTATTAACTCATCCTAAACATTAGCACAGAAGCGACTTCCTCACCAACATACACTCAATACAACTATCACACATTCCACATTACCATGAAACACCGAACACACTCAACATCCCTGTTTACACAACCAACATAATGTAATATTATTATCACAACGGGATCAGTCAGTGTTACTTCCACACATTCATGTACAAAGTATTCAACATGCCATATTAACTATTACATCAAATATATCACGCATTTAATAGTATTGTCAAAGTGCGATGGAGTGCACTTCACATTTAACTAGATCATTTTAATTTTTGCACCAAGCATCGTCTCTAACATTATACTATAGTGTGCTCACACAAATTAAACGTTCATGACAACAATGCCACGTAACACTAAAAATGTATGCACAGTCTGGCCTGAAGGCTGCATTAGCAACACATATTTTGGCAAACTTAACCAGCTCCTTTTCTCGTTACAGAACGCTGAACACAACAGTCCCAGTTCCGTACCAGTTGTCACCTACTTGTAAATATCTGTGCACGCAGTCGGTAACTCGCATCCTACCCTTAAACTATTTCACAACCACATCCACCCTA